CACCCTCATACCCAGGTCTCACAGGCGCTGGTGGATGCTGTAGTCTGGTCAGGAATCCCCAAGAACTCTTTGCATGTACCAGAAGGTACTGTGTCCTGGCCTTGCCTGGTCCGGTCGCAGATCTTGCAGGTACTGACAGGTTGCTGCAGCACAATCAGTAAGACTCCTTAGAACCCCTGGCTCTTCAGTAAAGAGCCTCAGTAATTGACGATGCCCTGTTATTGCTGATCTGTTTGGAGTAGGAGGCAATTCTCCAGAGACAGGTAAGGACAGAAAAGACAGTGAATGAGCAAATAAATAGCAATCTCAAACAAATACACGATAATTTAAAGCAATGACAAGTGTGTTCTGACTGTGAGGATTCAAAAATCTTTACAAGAACCTTTACCCAAGCATGCCATCCCTACTTCATTCATTCCGTGGTTCTTGAATAGTTACTACTCATTAGGTCTTCTATGTGTTTAGGGTAGTAGAGTGAATGGAAGAAACTCCATTGGAGTTTTCCAGTGGAGGGAAAATAAACAAACAACAATATAAAGAAACAAACACTCCATTGGAGAAAATTATTTTTATTTGCTTGTTTTAAAGATTTATTTATTTATTTGAAAAGCAGATTGACAGAAAAAGAGAAGCAAAGAAGGACGGAAAGAGACATCTTCTGTCCACTGATTCACTTCCCAGATTGCCACAACAGATACAGCTGATTTAGGCTGAAGTAAGGAACCCAGAACTCCACGACACTCCGATATGGGTGAGAGAGGCCCAAGTACTTGGTCCTTCATCCACTACCTTCCCTGAAGCATTATCACGGAGCTGGTTTGGAAACTGGGCATGTGTGGCTAAAACTGGCATCCAGAAATAGAATGCTTGCATCACAAGCACTGGCTTAACAATTTGTGTTAAGATGCTGGTCCCGTGTCTGATCTTAGACAGGTACAGATACCATGAATAAAATATATCATCTGATCCACACTTCTGTATTTTCTCTTACTCATTATTTTCTTCCTGAACACTCTATACTGCATGTTTACTTTGTTTTATGAAAAGTGCTACTTAAACTCAAGGATTTACAATGAATTCATACTTGGTTTCTAGATCCTTGCACTAGCAAAGAAAATAAATAAAAGACGGGGCCAATGTCATGGCATATCAAGCTAATCCTTTTACTGCAGCACTGACATATGAGTGCCTATTAGTGTCTAGCTGCTCCACTTTGAATTTAGCTCTCTTCTTGTGGCCTGAGAAAGAAGTGAAGAATGGTCAGAATCCTTGGGTTCCTGTGTTCATTTGGGAGACCAAGAAGCTTTTAGTTTTCAACTTCAGATCAGCTCAGCTATAGCCACTGAGGCAATAGGGAAGTGAACCAATAAATTGATGATTTCTCTCTGGCTCTCCTCCTCTCCGATAAAGTCTTCCTTTAATACAAAAAAAATATTAAATCCTTAAAAATAAAATAGCTAAAACAAATCTGCTAACTGTTAACTGTTTACTACACCTTAGTAAACCTATAAGGGAGGTTGACCACAGTATTTTGAAAGTAAGTGGCAGAATTACCTAAAGTCCTCTGTCTCTTTCCCTACAATTTCCCCTGCACTAATCTTTCAGGTATCATCTTAGCTCTGTCCTTTGAAGGTCTTAGTACATCTTCTAGTGCATAGTAGGTGCTCAACAAATATCCGTGTTTTCTTATTTATTTTATAATAACTGTGTTTTGTGTACAGTATGATGTTTCCTCAAATTACAGAAAAGATGGTTATTAAAACAATAAAATCAACTTGTATTTCAAAGGAATAAAGGTATTAACATTATACTTTACTAAAAGCCAAAAGGAAATAAGCAAATCTGTTTTGTATGTGTGCTGATTATTATATATGAACAGAGAAAAAGAAAAAAAAATAGATGCCAGAGTATTAATTGGGAACAAATTATTAGTTTTAGAGTTTTACGCTTTAGTATTACTAAAGAATGGAATAGGTACATAAGGACTGCTAAGGTGAAATCGCGGAAGAGACAGTGAACATGTATTAACTTGGGGGATTTAGTAAATATCATCCTGCATAAAAAACAAAGCTTGGTGTTTGTGTTTTATTCTGACATCTGGTCAACCTAGATAGCTTCATACGTGAGTTAAGAAAAACCAAGAGAGCATGCATAAGCAATTCCTGTCCTGTATCCAAGTTGCTTAAGAGATTATTATGCCATAACTTTATCTTCCGCAATTCAGGAATAATAGATTTTAGGTAAGAAAAACACTATTTGAATGGTAAAATGGACTTCACGCTCATAAAGCACTGAAGAGTTGCTGAGTGGAAGGGAAATTCTCTAATGTTTCTTTTGTTACATTCAATCTAACTGCTCTGAAAAACAATCTATGTGTTACAAAGCAGTGCTGTGGTCTACCTTTAAGTTAAATCTATAACCCTTGAAATTCAGTTACTTCCCATTCCCCGCTCTGATGTCATTTGGTGCTGTGATGGAAGGAAAGCCAAATCCCAGATTATTTACAATAGAGTTTTCTTATGAGCTTGCATATTAGGCAGACTGTGTCTTTGGGCACCAATTAACCCTAATTGAGTTATTACAGCAATTTAGGACTGATCTCAGCATTGAAGAGAAGCAATGGAAAGTTGAAGTTTAAGCTCACAGGTCACTATGGATCTGCATAATGTGGGACAAATAAGGACTGCATGATAGCTGAGATGGTATTTGTTGGAAAAGGGAGGGCAAATGTTTATCAAAACCATAAAGACTATAGAAGATTTTATATGTGGATTGCACTGTATCCCACTTCTGAAAAACATAGATGGAACCTTACTTCTTTTATGATAGTATGGTGATTGTCTTCTTCCTTTATTTATGTCAATGTCTGTTGTTCACTGATACTCAGCTTTTAATTAAAATCAATGGAGAAAAAGGAGAGCCTATAGGAGCTTAGGGTTTAAGAAGTACTTAAGTACTTACATGTTACTGCCCAGTCACATCTCTTATCGCTCAACAGTACCACAAATTATCAATTGCATAGTTATCATAACCTCATCTTAATTAAATGTCTCATCTTCTCATCTACAAAATAATGGTAATAATTAAATCTAACTTAGAGGGATTTTTGAAGATTTTAGTGAAATAAATAATGTAAAATGCCACAAACTTTACCTAGAATCAGAACATCAATAACACAATCAGTGAATTTTACAGCATGTTATGTCAGGGGCTCTGAACTAAAACTTTAAGCAGACTTCAGCTTACCGTCTTAGGCAATTGTATATTTTATCAGTACAGGAGTTATGTTATTCCATGCATTTCTAATTTTTTTAGTGTGTTGTTAGTACCAGATATTTACTGACGTTAGCATCATAAAATCTGACTCTAGTTTTGAAATCATTTTGTTTGTAATTACTATAAGTAATTGCTAGCAATAACTAGTATTCATTCCACTTGGAGTCAACAGATTTGCTTACAGAGTAATATACGGTTTAAATTGTGAGCTATTAAGCTATTGAATAAATAAGATTGGAGGAAGAATCAAATAATACTTGAGCATCCAGACCCACAAATTTAAACCATTTTTTTTTCATTGGCATCTGCTCACACTTTATTAGTTTCTGTGAATGTCAAAAATACACACATCAGTTCATTTGTTGTTTTGGTGTTAGGTAACACATTTCCACCATTGTAACTAAGGGTTTTTGTTTGTTTGTTTGTTTGTTTTGTTTTAATTCAGGTTGAGAAGTTCAAATATGTAGGCTGATTTCACAATAACAACATACATGCAAGCTGTACATTATAGTGAACCTTAAATTCCTAGATTAAAATAATATCTTCTTGGTGAGACTCTGTTTCATATAACTATTTCTTGCTATATTTACAATTCTGACTTTATCAAGTATGTATCTGTTCAATGTAATATGCAAAACTAGAGTAAATAGCTATTAATTTTCTCCTCCCAATATTGTTGGAACTAATTTAAGACAGATGTTCAAATTAAAAAAGAATTGGTATATTGAGAATTAAAAGATGGTCAAGTATCTGTGCTAAATAGTACTAGAGGAGTAATGGTGTTATGAAAAATTGGCTAATAGTAAGGGATCTGTGTAACAGGTAAGAAAATTAAATAATTGCTACTCTCAAGTTGCATTAAGAACTTTCTTTATTTTTTTCCCTAAATCTTAGCTCCCACATAAAAGGGAAAATAGATCATGTTTGCCTTTATGTGTCCAGCTTATTTCACTCAACACAATGTCCTCCATTTGCACCCATTTTGATAAAATGATAGAATGTTACTCTTTCATCTCACCTTCCACCACACACCACATTTTTTTTTCTGTGTTTGTATGATCATAGCCAACTTGGTTGATTACATATTTTGGATAATAAGAACAGTGGTGCTATTATCATGGTAGTGCATGATAAAAAAAAAAAGAAATGCTGTGTATATCAGTGTTGGCTAAGATACAATTTTTATACTATTTTTGTCAGGCCAGTGGTTAAGAACAATATAATATACTATAGCTATAATGATCTGTGATAGCTTTAAAACTTACTTTGTGTGAGTGAAATTGACATTTTTGGTCTGACTACTATTGGTAGCTCTTGCCTATATTTCCATGAAGTGATGATCCTTTTACATATTATTTGTTGAATTATTTCTGTAATGGAGCATTCAGACTTACTATCCTATGAACTGAAAATGTTATCTTGAACACTAAATTAAGAAATAAATTAGAGGCAGGGGAATAAAGAAATTAGGAAGACAGACAGGAAAGGAAGGGAGGGGAAATCATATTCTTAGGATTGTTATCTGTGAACTACATGTAATCTATTTTTCATACTAATGTAACAGTGAGACTTGATGAGAAGCATGTCACAGTAATTATGCATTTGTCTGTGACCCTGAGAATCCGTTTTACTAATAAAATCTCTAAAATGAAAAATTAAAAATCTACAATTTAAAATGTATTCTTTGATGAGAACGCATTTTTTTTGTTTGTTTAATGTTTCAGATGTATATTACCAACACAATCAAAGCCAAAGGAACCAGACTTGCTAAGCCAGTCCTTTGTTTGGGATTAATGTGTTTGGCCTTTCTAACTGGACTCAACAGAGTAGCAGAATATCGAAATCATTGGTCGGATGTGATAGCAGGCTTTCTGGTTGGAATATCCATAGCAGTATTTCTGGTAAGTACAAATAGATTTAAGCATCAATGATTTTCCAATGAACTTAGAATTATGAATCACTGTCTAAACAGACTGTCAAGCAATAAAGTAAGAAAATACTTCCAAACTTTTGTACAGAGATGGAATTAAAAGATACATTTATTTGAGCACAATTTTAAAAATCTAGCTAGCTGTCTATACATATATATATGTATTCTTCAATATTGCCTGAACATGCTTATAATGAATAATGAATGCATTTCTAAAGGTTTTCACCCAAATAAACTTAAACACACATACACACATAAACCTGATCTTGCTTTCTCTATCCTTAGCCATTTTTTTTTTCTGCTTAAAATCAGGATTGAAGATCAAAACATAACCACATTCTACAGAGCAGATTGCTTTTTCCCTAAAGTAGAGCAGGGCTGAAAATACTGGGCGTTCTTTAAGGCTGCATTATTTGGATGTTTAAAACATTTGCACAGGGCAACTTGCATCTTAGAATATACAGTCCATCCCAAAACCTCACTAATGTGTCTCACTTGAACGTGTACACTACACTCTCCTCACCTAGTGAACTTCATCTATGAGATGTAGCATTTTACTGTTGATAAGATTCATTGATTCCTAAACGATGTATTGGATCATATTTTATCAGGTCAGGAACATGCACAGCAATTTCTTATGCAGTTAGAATACCATCTATATTCCTGTTTTATAATATTTTATATTTTATAATATTCTTGGACACCGCAAGAGACTGTTAGAGTTAGAAATGCAATTCACCTGACTTTAGAATTCATCAGTTCACTAAAAGTCTTGACATATAACACTTAGATGAAAAAATAAGCTATAAATAATGCATTTTGCATAGATCAATTACAATATGAGATACTTTATTTCCATTTGATCATATTGAAAATTGCTTCTCATGCTTTTATTCTCCAGCCACATTTCAGTATTTAATAACCAAAAAGAAAACTGAAACTTCCCAGTGAACAAATGTTGGGGCATAATTTATGTACCAAGGTTTTTAAATAGGCTACTTCCACTAGACTCTTGTGGTGCTTGATGACTGCTCTGTCTCTTTCTTTCTCCTGTGATAATTGTTGTGGCTCCAGTCCCTCTGATTCCCAGGATCCCTGGAATCTTGTCTAATCCTCTCTAACTGCCCAAAACAGCTACCGCCTTGAGCACTAGAGTCCAGGCTTGAAGTCAAATGCTTTCCTTGCTTTAACTCATCACAGTTGAAACTGCTTAACATGCTAATTCAAATATATTTCATAAATCCTAAAAAAATGTAATCATTGGTAATTGTCAAAGCACTGGTGTCAGATGTGACTCCATTTAAGCTGTGCCAATTCAGAACATCAGCTTTGGTGTTCCATTAGCATTTCCTGTAGATCTTATTGTGCCTGTTGTCATCTTGATTTTCCTTTGGTGAACATATTAACTCCTTGCAAGGCTGAAATTGGAACTTTAGTGTTTTCCCACTCACTTATTGTCTGAGAACCACATGGTGACTGATAAGTTAACACTCTCCTATTGCAGAAATTCAGAACATAACCAGGAAAATTACCTCATAGGAAGATCATGAAAGCAATACATTGTCCACGAAATAACTAAGCATGTAATCATGTGTCGATGCAGAGCTTTGACGAGTATGAGTACCTACAAGATACCAGGCACTAATCTTGAACTGGATAGGAATAGTTGAAGCTCAGATCATCAGTCTGATCAGTCTTCAGAAGCTAAAGTCTGACTAAGGGTGTGATAATAATAGATTGATCATCTAAATGTCTCCTTTCTCTCTTACAATATAAAATACATTTGTTAGAATCCAGGCATGGTCAACAACTGGTTATTGACCTTGTTTCATGGCTTCACAATTATGGAAACATATAATGTTGGAGAAATGGGGCCTACCATATCCAGATGTGGGGGTATAATGCAACATGATCCCTGCTTCCAGATGAAAGATGAATTCCCAATGAAATGTTGGACAGGTGTAGACAATGGGGTGTTGAACTGTCTGACTTTGTGCTGGCAATCTTGGGATTTACTTAAATAAAAAACTGATGAAATTATAATTCCTTATGAAGGATTATACCACTGTGGTAAAATGGGGAAAATATGTTGGGGTGGGAGTTTCGGGGGAAATCCCAGGCTATACGAAATTGTAGCACATAATTCAAAAAACCAAAATTTATATATGTATGTATGTATATTTTTATAATACATAATATAAATATATATTATATATATATAATCTGGGGGTATGGAGCTTTAATGCTGCAACTAAATACTGACAAAGAAAGAGCATAAGCATTTAAATGGAACAAAATCTGGTGATAACAATAGAATTTAAGGAGGGTTAACCACTGTAGTCATGCATACACTCAAGCTAATTTTAATTAGGAACAGTCATACAAGTAATGTGAGATAATATGTTGAGAGGTTTCTGGGCTGAGAAACAGGAACAAATGCTTCATAAAATCACCAATCCTACTTTATCCAGGGCCTAAGGCATATTTTGTGCATGGAAGAGCATGGCATCATGGAATGGTGCCAGGTTTTCACTACAAGTTACAAAGTAAAGAAGAGATATCCTAAATGGTCTTACACCTCTTTGTGGTATACTTACTTTGTGAGCCAGCTTCAGTATCTTCCTCTCTAAGTCAGGGAAGAAAAGCCTCCCTACAAGATCTAACAGGCTAATGGAAAAAATATATGCTTGGAGAATGGTTGTATGAATGACTGAAAAAAGGCCGTAAGTGAGAATGAGTTTGCTCATTTCCTTTTGCACTATGATAAAATTTGTACTTTGAAAATAACATTGCTGTAAAATAAAACTTCATGTGGTAATAAAGGAAGCAGGCTATGCAAAAATTAGTGAAATATGATGTCTCTAATCAGACCGCAGTGGCACAAAGAGAGGGAAGGATATCTGAGCAGGGTGTCAGAAGTTTGTGGGTTTACAATCTGTGGGTTTGGAGGAGAGGCAAATGAGGCAGGAGAGGGACCCACAAAGCTTCTCAGGTTTCTCATTTGGACCATTCCATGGGACAGTTGTTCGACCCATGACTCTACCTCTGCCTTGCAGTATTCTGGGCTGTTTCCAATTATCCTGCAATTTGCACAGATTCTAAAATGTTTCAAAGATAAAACTTTGTGCTGTCCTGCCCCAAGGTTCTTATAGCTCAGTTAGAGGAACCCGTATCCTCTTGCCACCTAGACCCCACACCCAGCATTTAGCTTTGACTCATTCTTCTGGTTCATCCCCCACATTCAATGATTCATCTAGTCAAGGTCATTTCCACTACAAAATGAAACCTGGCTTCAGGTTGGCTCGGATTCGGCCACTGCAGCCACTTGGGGAGTACATCAATAGATGGGGGATCATTCTCTCTCTGTCCTTTCCTTGCATCTGATCTGCCTGCTTCTTTGTGTTTCTTCTTTGGTCTTCTGATCATTACCTCCCAATATAGACTATAACATGTTTCATTTCTGTTAGCTATAGGTTGCTGGCTACTTTATTTAATTTTTTTCTCCAAATAACTCCCATCCATCTTGTCTCTGTGCACATTATGGCAGCTGTTCTCGATCAAATCCAGACACTTCCATTGGATTTGCATTGTAGTCTGACTGCATTCCCAGTGAAGTTTATTCTCTCCTCCTCAATGGATAAATAAATACTACATATTGAATCTGGTCAACTTTCTTCTAACAAAAACAAGCTCTGTCCTTCCTGCGTATTTGCTTCCATGGGAATTCCTTTCTACTGTGCGGGTTGCAGCTGCTATGAGCTAACCTTAAGTCTTGATCACCTTGGAAGAGAGGAGTTGAAGCAGTGATTGCCCTAACAGTCATGATTATTGACTTCCCCTGTGATAAAAAGGGGAATCCTCCGTGTCCAACTTGGATGTTATTGTGTACTCTCACACTAGCCTTCATTCCAGGTTTGAGTACACTGATAAAACCTAGAACATACTACTTCATATGCATTGAAGGAGCAGTCACTTTACCAAATCACAGAAGCATAGTTCAAATACAATAATCATCACAAGAGAAAATCAACAAATGCTTCCAGAAATGCTTAAAAATAAATGGGAAAAAAATGAGAGACAGGAACGGAGACAAAATGACTTCCACAGAGGAACTCAATGCCAGTTCAATATTACAATGCAAAGATGAAGATATTAATGAAATGCCTGAAATGAATTAGAAAGAATGATCATGGGATTTCTATAAGGAGCACAGGTCATGCCGAGCTAGGCTCTTACACCTACTGGTTTGCATGAACCAGACATAGGAATAGACTGAGCCAGGCCAGGTTCCATCACCCACCAGCAAGAATCAGGACAGGGAGCAGGCCAGGTCAGGCCACGTTACAGCACCTAAGGCAAAGGCCAATACAGGTGAAGGGCTATGCCAGTCTGGGTCAGAGCAACCACTGGCACACACATGATCTATGGCTGGAAACAGGCCTGGTTGGGGAGCTGAAGAGACACACTAGCTGGGTTGAGGTTACCACTGGTGAATATGGGTGCTGGGGTGGGAGCTGCGTTCTGGTCTGGATATGGCTGCATTGTCCCTTGGCATAAGTGTGAACTGGGGCTGGGCACACTGAGCTGCACGCTCCAGCACCAAATGGAGCCCTGGAATATCAGAAGAAATGTAGGACAGATTAGGTTAGGTCTCTGCCCTTGCTGAGCCATGTGTATGTTGTGTCTGGGTGTGGACTAGGCATGGCTGGGATGAAACATGCAACAGTAAGAATCAGAATGAAGGAATCTCAACTGAACTTGAACTGAGGTTATGCAGCAAGGTGGAGGAATCCACTATGGGGGGAGGGTTGTGGGAGGGGTGGGGGGAATCCCCAGTGCCTATAAAACTGTATCACATAATACAATGTTAATAACAATAAAAAAATAATTAAAAAAAGAATCAGAATGGGTTGAAGGCCAGTTAGGAAAGGTCACTGTCCGTGCTAGGACAGGGGGTGGACTAAGTAGGGCTGGTCCATGGACCCACCAATGTGCATGAGATCTGACACTGGGAGAAGTTCTGATGGAGGAGCTTGGGAAACTCCTCTTTTGGGACATAGTCCCTGCAGATGCGTGCAAGAACCAAGAAATGGAGCAGCCCAGACCAGACTAAGAAAAGGTACCCACTAGTATATATTTGGCACAGGTTGGGGGAATACCAGGTTGAACCAGTTCACAACACCTACTGGTGAATCTGAGCACCAGAGCAGAGTGCGGATTGAGCCAGGTATGGTCGTAACACATACCAGTACACATTACTGCTGGTATTGGTGGGACTTTTCCGCAGCATTAGACAGCAAGATTCTGGCACTGGGAGCTAATTCTGTCAACTTAAGCCACAGAACCACTTGGAGCGTGTATGATCCAGGAGTGGGAGTGGGCCCAGTAGAGAAATAGTGGGCACCTCCCTCTTGGGTTACCACTCTCGCTAGAAAGCATGAAAACCAGGACTGGAGCAGCCATAGCCAGACATAGAGTGGTACCCATCACAGGTGTGTGGTCTGGATAGTGGGTTTGTTTGGGTTGAACTAGTCTTCAATGCCCACTGACATGTATGAAAGCTGAATGGGATGTGGGACAGACTGGGCAAGTCCGCTGTACATATTGGCAAGCATGGGAAGCAGGGCAGGGGAGAGGCATGGTGAGAATTATTGGGAGTCACCCCAACTAGGCTTCAGCTCCACTGGACTTACGTGACCAAGTATGTGATGGGCAGGATTGGGATGGGCTGCAACACCTATTGGTTCATGTAGAAGACAAGGCTGGAAACAGAACTGACCCAGCAGTTGTAACCAGCAGCATGTGCATAAGCTGATTGAGGCGACAGACTGTGCCAGACCCTGTAGAGGCATGCACACAATCAGGTCTGGAATCACCTCAGTTGAAGTGTTTGGGGATCCCTGCAACTGAACTGCTGATCTTAGAACCCCAACCCCGAAGAGAAGTGCAGGTTCCATGATCTGACCATGGAGTGAATGCATGTGTCAAAGCTGAGCCTCCTCAGCGGCTCAGACAGAGCAGTGACAGCATATCCAGGTGCACATGGAGGATATGGCAAACCACCAGAACCTAGAGAGGACACCCAGTACCACAATAGAAGATGGAGAATAGAACAAATTGATCATCTGTCCCAGCCATGTGTTGGTAGTGAAAATCTAGACAAACGGAGACGCTAAGGCAGATTATGCCAGCCAGTGAATTCTGGTGAGATTTCATCATGTTGGGAATGGCGAGACTAGCAGCAATTCAGAACTGTTGAGCTATCTAAACAACTTGAGCAATGACCCTGGAGCACGCCTCAGGTCAGGGACCCTGGGATGGGTGGGAGGCTGATTGGGGCTTATTCCTTTATCTCCCATCTTACCCAAGATACAGGAGAGAAAGAGAGAGAGAGGGAGATTATAGAAATTAAAAAGGGGGGGTGTGGGGGGAGCAAATGCATGAAGAGTATATACAATAAATGCAAAGTTGTTTTTTTTTCCTGCAAGGTTGAGAGTTTAAAGAGAAATCAAACTGAAATGTGAGAAATAAAGAATCCAATATGTGAAATTAAAAATATGGTTTAAAATATTAGCAACGGATTTGCAGTATGGAAGTCTATAAGTTAAAAAACAAATCTTTAGAAAATATCACAGCAAAAAGCAAGAAGAAATGAGAAAAAGCAAAAATGATGTCCAAGATTTATGAGAAACCATCAAACCAACCTAACATATGAATTGTAGAATCTAAAGTAGAGCAAAGCATAATAAAAAGATTATAAAATGTGCATCAGAGAAGTGGCAGCCTACCTTCAGAGGATCTAAAATCGGACTTGCAGCTGATCTCTGCGCATTTCGTGGAATGGACATGAAATTGCTTTTAGCCTGTGTTAGCAAAATTCCTGATTGCTTTTTATATCATTTATACTGTAAAACAATGGTCAGCAAATTTGTGAAAATACACAATGTTTATATGTTATTACATTTGAAGCATTTATGTAAAAATGAATATTAAGCTATAAGTGCAAGGTATGACTGCATTTTAACTTGTAACAAAAAGTAAAACCTAGCAAAAGAAAATTAAAGAAATTTCCTACTCAAGACAATAGCAAAAATAAACAATACTTTTCTTGTGTTAGCATTTCTGTTTATTCAAGTGTGATTCACCTGCATCAGAAATTTCTGGAATTTATTTTGAAAGTGTCAGTTCTTAAGTACCAGTAATTTGTGCTTCAGAATATTTGGAATAGGACTTGGGCATAAACATGCCTAAAATTTCAGAACTTAATTTTCAACCATACTAAAGTAAGAGAACTCCAAGTGTAGTTAAAATTCTGTCATTCACGGGTTGTAATAGCTTGAAACAGGGTCAACTTTTTTTGTGTAAAGGGTCTTTTATTGTTTCATTAGTCCAATAAGCTATTGTTGAAACTCCTACTATGTATCAGACATAATAATGGACAATAAGCCAAACTAAAAGGATGCTGCTAAATTGAGTGCCACTTGTAGAAAGTTTATTATGAGTGCAATGATTTTGAATCAATGGAAAATAATTAGCATTTAAATTAAATTGTAGGTTAGCTACATTAGTGAAAGGTTAGTTTCCTATGAATTTTGATAAGGTTATGGTACTATTTTAAGATTCATTTCACGGTTAACTATACCTCAGTGACAATTTTGTCATTATTAATTGGTGAATATTCTTGAATGGATATGCATTGGAGCAGCTATTGAAATTTATATATCAAGGATGTGAAATTACGTGTGTAATATTTAAATAATTTTAAAATTTTATTACCATCTTAAGGTTTAATAAGCTATTCAAAGAAGGTGATAAAAATAAAGACAATCATTTTATTTTAACTATGATTGTTTTCTGAAATTTCAGGTTGTGTGTGTGGTAAATAATTTTAAAGGAAGACAATCAGAAACTGAGCATTTCCACATGGATAATATGGCACAGATGCCAATGATCAGCATTCCTCGAGTAGAAAGTCCTTTGGAAAAGGTAACATCTGTACAGGTGATTCACAATTTACATTCTGAGATGTAATTCTTATCTAAAACAGTCAAAAGATTATACCTATGCCCGTTTGTTGCCTTTCTTAGCTTGAGTGTAAGGTGACATTTAGCAAAAAGTTCATCTTTAAATAGCTCATCCTAGAGAAGTGTTTTTCTTGCTTAAAATAGCTCTTTGTATCTATCATGTTAAGAGCTGAGTAGCTGTACCTGGGATCCCTTGAGTACTGTGACATAGCTTCTAGATGAGGAATACTGGATCCTGGTCTCATGTGTAGACAAAGAAATGAGATATTTTAGAATATATAACAGTATTCATAAATTCTACTTCACTTATTCCATTTCACTGGGAAAACGTGAGTACAATGTCTGGCACACAATTAGACCTCTATTAATATCTTATTAAGACAAAGATCTGGCTGCAGAAAAATGCCAGCCATGCTCCCCTGAACATGCACTGAAGTTCAAACTGGACTCTGAGTGGCAGGTTCAGGTCTCCCTGGGTGCAGTGTTAAGCAGAGAAGCCAAACATTCAGGAAAAACTTTCCTTGATACTTTCAATGAAGCAGGTAGGGTGTTGCTTCCACATGCTGATGCAGTTTTATGCATTTATGGATAGTTACATGACCCCATGGGAATGTACTAATGGCTTCTTCTTATGTCACATTGATTTCCATCTTTTGATCAAGATTTAGATGAAGCATCCAGGTACAAGCTAATTGAGTCTGTGGGTAGGGTGAATCCATGATGGAGAAGTAATACATTGGACGAATGAATAAAATTCTTGTGACTCTGCAATCAGATACAATGAACTAGCCGAAAGAAAGGAAGTGTTGTGTTTGCATTTTTAAAAGTTTGTGTTTTAGATTATGGTAGGTCTAGTTTAATTGTATAAACCAAAAAAAAAAAAAGGGGGGTGGCTTAAGAGGCTGTGGTTCAAAGCAGGCTATGTGTCAACAGCATGGTACAGTTGCTAAAACTGTTCATGTGATTTGACATGCCTCTTAGAGACAATTATATCTGATTGAGGGAACTGATGATGGTTGTCTCTGTCCTGCTTAGCCAGGAATGCTTTAAATTTTGTGTACGGCTTGTGAGAACAAAATTTTAAAATGGAAATGGATAAAAATCAGCTAGTAGATGCTCAGCAAGTCCATTTTTAAATGAGTGAGTGATTGAATGAATGAATGTGTCCAGAAAAATGAGTGGACTCCAAGTCTCATATACTGACGAAGCGTCAGAAAAACAGAAGCTGATTAGTCTAGAGTTAAAGCAGCTTCATGACAGAAGCAACAGCTTCTCCTAAGTATTGAAGACCCACTGAGTGACAGTAATATGAGATTTATTCTGTGCAGCCAAAAGGCTCAGGCGACTGAGTTTAAGAAATAGGTAATAGCTGGAGAGAAGACAAAAACATTTTGAAAATGGAATTCCTTAAGAGACATGAAGCATTCCTTTGCTGTAGGAATTTCAGAATAGCTGAATAATCAGTTATCCTTGATTTTGGGAAGGGAATGAAAACATTCGAACAAGAATATAAGCACTAAATATTATTTTTTCTAATAGTAATAATGTCATTTATTTATTTATTGATATATTTATTGTGAGAAGAAAAGCTGACAGACATACATGGATCTTCCCTACGATAATTTGCTCCCTGAGTTTTTGCAACAACTAGGCCTGAGCCAAACCAGTCAGGAACCTGGTTCAGACTGAGCCTCCTAGACCTATGATATGGATCCTTATACTTGAGCCATCAACTAGTGCTTCTCAGTGTGCACATTAGCTAAAAGCTGGAAGTGGATGTGAACCCTATGACTCATCTCAGGCACCTCACTACGGAATATAGGCATCCCAGACTGCATGTTAGCCACTTAGTGTGCAAGTAATGACTGTCATTTAATGACCTTCAGTTTACACCAAAAATGTGCTGGTGGCTGATGTATATTCCACAAGACACTCCCATGATTTACAAGTATTATTTCGGTCTTCACAACTTTCAAAAACCAGTCTCATTATAATGGTCAGGGTAATAATTAGTCTTTCTATTTGCATGTGTCTGAAATTAACAGTCATGTTTTTTAAATTTTTCCAGGCTGGTTGTTTAGTAAATTCCTAACGTTTCACACACACACACACACAAAAAGCACTTACTATTAAATCATTTTGTATACTAGCTGCCTGATAAGTTCCCAGGAAAACAGTGGAACATGGCCCACATACTTGGATTTTTGTCACCCACTTGGCAAATCTCAGAAGAAAATTCGCTATTGTAGTTCCAGGCTCTTGGAGCTGTTCATGGGAGTGAACCAGTAGACCTCTGTCCTTCTGTCTCTCCACAACTCTGGCAAGCAAGCAAGCAAGCAAGCAAGCAATAACTCAACTTTAAAAAAAATATTAGGTAGTGAAAGCAAACAATATTCCTATTGAAAACTGTAAATACGGGAGAAATGTTTTTCGCCTTCACTCATTAGTATTTTTTGTCTGTGATAAATCCGTGTTCTTAATCTTCACAATGGTAGTTAGAGAATAAAAATGGTGTGAATGTGATTTTGTTCTTCTCTTCCTCACTGTACCACAAAGTCATCATCACAGCCCGCTGAATCCCAGCTTTTCTGTGGACTCTTCCGTTCTGTTCTCAGGCACAATTCTTTCTCAGTGGTCCATGATCCTTCCCCTGTACTCACACAGAGCACAGGAGGATGTGTGCAGGAGGGGACTGGCACTGGGTATCTCACACCTCCCTCTGGAGCTTGTGTATATGCGAGAGAGGCAGGAAGGCCAGTCCTCAGCCTCCAACAGTCATCTTTTCTTTTTTGTGGTAAGCAGTCAGTCCAGGGGAGTGTGGAGACTTTTCAGAATGTTCTAGGAAAACTGGAATTAAAAGACAAGTCTATTTTAGTATAAAATATTTTTTGAGATTCATGGATAGCTTTTTGATAATACACATTTTCCACAAACTTTTTAATCTCATTTATTTATTTATTCTAAATAAATTATTTAAATGTATTTAAATAAATTATATATACTTAAATCATATCTATTTTAAGTAAATTGATTAAATTTATTTAAATAAATTATATGTATTTTATTTTAATTTATTTTAAGTAAAGTTTATTTAAATCTCAGACATGGGCCACCCCAAAGTCAGGAGTTGGGGACTGGATCTGGGTCTCTCACATGTGTGGTAGGGACTCAAGTACTGCAGACATAACCTGTGACCTTCTGTGTTGTTCATCAGCAAGGCGCTGAGTTGTGCAGCTAGGCACTCCAACACTAAATGGGGTCGGGGACATCCCAATCATGTGTTGACTACTGTGGCAAATGCTCACCTCTACACAACCTTCTGTGAAATAACTCACTGTTTTGCACTTATTCCCATAATAATAATTAATTATGGACTATTTAATAACTAGTTTTTGACAAGTGGCATTAAATTCTTATTGCCAGCCCTCTGAGTAGAAAAGGAAACTGTGCATCCATGTTTGGTCTGCAGGCATGATCAATAGCTTCAGCCATGTTATCCGAACTATTACTTCATGGTTGTCACTTTGGGGTTAGAGAAAGCAATAAGTTTCTCCCATAAGTGATGTACTTGCATAACCCCTAAGTTCAGAGTATATGTTTGATACACTACAAGCTATAAAGTAATTACAGTGTGGAAGCAGTCTTTATTTTCATGGCATAATCTATCTCTTAATTACAGGGAATTTGTCATGTACTTAATTACCATAGTTTATGAAGAAAATTATGCTTTTTCTAAAAGCTCAGTAATCTGAAATTTCATTGCATTTAGTCTTATGAAAAGAATTAATCATCTGTGTTGCTGGGCCGTCAGATCCCAGGGCTCACTAAACGCTGAATCTCCCAGCAACTTTATTATAACTGCTTGTACTACAACATTATGAAAACCCCAAGTGCATCAGTAGTACATCGTTCAGTCATTTCGGACATATTCCCCAACTGGGATCTAGTACATTCTACTGTGGTTTGGGAGGCAGTTTGACTGGCAAGTTTGAACAATTTTGGCCTTAGGCAATTCACTGAAATGTGTAGTGGCCCATTTTTCCCTTTCATAAATGGATAATTAGGAAAATTCGGTAAGCTACTTGTGTAGCACTTGTGTATGGTTCGTATGAAGTTCTTAATTAATTGTCAAGTGTAAGTATGATTACTATTTAAATGTTGAAATGGTTGAGGCATGACATTAGGAAGCTTTCCAACGTATAGTGCAATTTTTTAAGAAAAAAGTTTACATGTGTAAGATGTTATCATATGTGTGTGTATGTGTGTATGCCAAAGTTTGTTAGGAAGGCACTCCACACAATTTTGCAATATAATGGAAAAGGTAAGATGTGTGTGTGTGTGAGGGGGCTGCTGGGAGGTAGGAAACAAGAGGGGAAGAGGAACTGACCCAATCAGAACGACACTGAAGCATAAGGAAAGCAGTAAGGTAGTGGTGTTCTTTCCTTTTTTCTTTGTCCTCTTTTCCTTTCTCTTCCTTTCATTTCCTTTATTTTTCTCTTCTTTTTTCTTTTCTTCCCTATCACTTCCCCTATTTCTGTGATAAAATACTAAATGAATACATGGATAAGTAAAACAATTACAATTTTTAAATATTCTATTTTCTTAAGCTGCTTCTAGGGAGGTTCCAGTTATGCTTCCTCATTGGGTTGACTGCTGACAGGTTAGGACTGACCACAGTGATTGAATTCCTTGTGCTTCATTGTTGAGATTCACATGACCTTTCTAAAACCATTTTGGCTCATTTTTCTCTGCAAAATTGCACACAGAAATCTGTGTCTCGTTTGCCTTCTTACCCATGGCCCAGCATTTCTTCCCCACATCTACTGTCACCTCGTTATCTTTTTTTTTTTTTATTCAAGATATGGTTCCACAGACACAGGGGTTTCCCCAACCCTCCCATTCTCCCACTGCTTTCCCTCATGTGTTTATAATAGAATTGTCCTTAAGCAACAGTCACAAGTA